ACTTTTTAAGCTTCAACTACAGCGGAATCAGTACAGGAGAATAGTTTCTTTTCCGTTCCAGTAAGTTCTATCTCCATGTACTTTTAGAGTTCCTTTATGTGTGATATCTCTTTTTTTGATCTTTGTCCTACTGCTCCCCTATCAAAATAATCACCCCTTCGATTAAGCGCCCTAACTCCAATATGCGTCCCCTACCCCCTTCTTCAAGCGGAATTTTAAATTAGCACCCGGGCGCTTATTCGAGGAGTAGGATAATAAGTATAATCTTCTGTGACTGATTAAGTAATAAAGGATGAAAATTCAGTTTAAATTTCCCTCCATCTCTTCTTGGTGTTGTGTATCTCACAACAGAAGTTTCGGTTGATTTTGTCTTTAAATTGGCTGAGATTGATTTGGTTATCCACGAACTTAACTGGAAAGGACTGACTCTTCATAGCCATTAAAATTAATATGCTTGATTTCGAATGAAATAAAGCTTAAAATAACATGAACCGGTGTCCTCTACCTAAATGTAAAATGCATCTTCGGTTCCAGATGTTTCGTTCGCATGATTTAATTTATGAGATTAGCTGGAGTATAGGGGTGAAGTTTTTATAACATGATGAGCATTTTACACGTTTCAGCCACCACGGGGTGCATTATGTTCCTCTAAAACCATAAGCTGTTACTAAGGGGGACTAAGACGCTGTAATCTTCCCAAAGAAAAGGGGGAAGGGCAGGGAGGAGGTGGAAGGGTTGAGTCTCCCCAGTCTCCCCTACGTTCGATGTGGAAACTATCACTGGGGCAACATGGTATTGGTTGGAAAATTCCAGCCATGTAATTTTGAAAACTTGATTAACGGACAGGTTTCATAAATTGCAGCGTTGACAACGTATCTACGGGCACGGTTGACTGCAACTAAGCACTGGAGTTTTAAGATGCAGGTGTTCCCAATTCCCAGCTTGTAGATTGACAGACCAGAGCAGAGATCTAACCCGACTAAGGACGTCGCTCTACTGACACTGCCTACAGACAGTCAAATTATACCTCCCTCACTTCCACCCCACCAAAAAAAAAAGGAAAAGTGATATAATAATAATAATAATAATAATAATAATAATAATAATAACGATAATAATGATAATATAATAGTAGTATTATGAAAAGTAGTAACGCCAAATACAGACTATAAATTTGGATCAGTGCAATATTTTTTATGCAAAATATGACATTGATGTCAGAAGATTGAGATAGCAGAAACAAAACTGGTGAAATAGCACCGCGAAAAGTCTATTTCAGACGACATGAATAGAAAGTGAGTCAAGGCTTTATAGTGACTTGTGACTAACCAAAATTTCGCTTGCCATGCTACGAAAACTAGCGCTTAGGCGAGAAGAAATGCTCGGGATTTTCTTTTTCTTATCAGGTTTCTGTAAGGAGCCTACTAAGTAATGCAATCCTGGTTTCTGTGCATTGCAAGAGTGTATCATCTGTGCAATGCAGGATGCACCAGGCTGAACGGAGCAGGCATGGAAAAATGTGAAAGCCTGGGAACGATAACCGATGACGTACGCTCACAAACAAGTTCCAGCAAAGGCGAACAATTTTGACTGTGAAGAGCGAGATGGCGCTGTGTTTTGTGAAAACATCAACGTTTGTTTTGCTGGTCCTAGTACAAGTTTGTCATGGGAAGGACCCTCAACCCCAACAGATTCACATCTCAGCAACAGGTAAGGAAAACATATCAGAGACTGTTAAGAAGAAAAACTCAGATGTTAATCACCTGACTAATAACGAAGGCTAAGGCTGAAACTAGAAAGAGTCATCTCTTCACAGTTAACGACAGGGGTCTCTCTACTTTTATCAACCTCTACTGAGCACTTTACGCAACAAATTCCCCGCGAATTTCAAGTTCGATTCTCGTTTTCTGGGGATTTAATTCAGGATTCTTAGTTTCGCACGCACTCACATGACTTCCCAAATCGACCTTTTGAAATCTCCTCATAAAATTTCTTACACTTCAAGCAAGGCTGATTTCAACCAAGACGAAAGCACTATTTCCCCATTAAACTCAACTTCAGCGCACTTTCGATTCTCGAGAATTCCATCAAGATCGCATAACGAACTGCTTCTCTTCTTTCAGTTGTCCACCATGTCAATATTGTCACCTTGTTCGTTCAGTTCCTTCAAGGTTCCTTTCGCTTTACTTTTTCTCTTGAAGCAGATCGTAAGCCTAATCAGTTTTACATTTCAGCTACGACTAAATTAAGTGAAATTTCTGTAGCGCCCCAACATCGTACAAATCGCACAGGCCAGTGCAGAAATGTTAACTTTACCGAAAATGTTATGTAAGCTTTAATTTTAGAAAGTGTTATAATCTTAATCGTCCCAAGCAAAAACCATCCTACAAATCGAATCGCCCCTGAAATACCATTCACATTTTGAAATTTTACTACTTTGTGATATTCTTCCCGTTTTCTCAGGTTCTTTCAATGATACAATTGTGCACGGCTTCCGTGTAAAAAACTTTATGATGCGTTATGTGTTCATGAACACAGCTCTTGTTTACACTTGATTAAGAGAACTTGTGTCATAGAGATTGTAATTGGATTTCGACCATTTCTGCAGTCAGCTTAAAATAGCGTCTAAATGAAAGCGGAAACTCGCAGTTACATATACCACATAGGTCTGCTGCTTCCATCACGACTGTTAACTGGACCTGTTATGTAATGCCTCACTTATTTAGTAATGTTATGCTCTGACTACCAAATTGGTGATCGTAACTCGTTCAATTTTAAGGTCACAAATCACAAATCAAATTAGTTAGTTTTATTGCCTGCCCAAGCTTAAATTGTTATTCTGGTAATTCAATGGATAATTCAAGAGACACTCTGCCAAATTTCTGATTATATTTGTTTAATAATGTGCATGTGTTTTTACACAGTGAGTAAGTTTTTATTGCTGTATTATTGCAGATGAGCACTGAATATTAATTTGTGTAGCATGCTGTACTGAGGTTATTAAAGACCTTGCCAGGTAGTTTTTTCGTACAAAAAGATTCAAGCACATTGATTTGAACTTTTTGCTCAACTTTTAGGAGATCCCACAGAGATGATGATCACCTGGGTCACTATGGCTTACACCAACTACACTATTGTGGAATACAATAAGGCTGGTTTTCCTCTTACGCTGCAGAAATCTGGCAGCATTACTAAATTTACTGATGGTGGTTCAGCACATTTGGTGAGATACATTCACAGAGTTAAACTGACAGGACTGGTTCCTGCTCAAAGATATGGTAGGTCTTCATTTTCCAGCCTTCAATTTTCAGATAAAGGAAATGAAAGGATGCTGCCTGACACTAAGGCTTTCCAGAGACTTAAAAGTAGATTGCGAAATATAAAGAATGAGTGGCACTCTGAAAAAAAGGCACTTCTAGTTTCTTTGGCTATTTTTCAGCCCATTGTTTTAAATTACTCATAACTTTTCTAGTGATAAAGTTTAGCTTAAGAATCAGCTTCTGAAAGAAGAATCTTCTACCATGATTATTTTTAATTATTAGGGTTTGATATTAGAAGGGAGAATCCTGGAAGTTACATGTATGCAGGACTTTTTTGGGAAATCTTATAAATACTGTAGATTGAAATCTTTGATAAAGATTGGTTCCTTTGTGTTAAAAATTATGCCTCTCGTCAAAAAACTGAAAAGAGGTATCAATACAAAGGTTTATTCTTTTGTTTATGAAATTTAGATTATCACTGTGGAGGATATGATGGGTGGAGTGAAGTGTTTGCTTTCAATGCCCTCAAGTCTGGAGAGGACTGGAGTCCAAGACTAGCTCTTTATGGAGACTTAGGTAGTGTCAATGCAAAATCTATTAGCTACCTTCAAGAGGATGCTCAGAGAGGAAACTATGATGCTATTCTTCATGTTGGTAAGTTTTGAATTATTGATTTTGTTTTTGTTCATTCATGTGATTTGGAATAGTTGTATGGTATAATACTGTTAAAATAACCCAGCCAGGAACTATTAGAAGTCCAAGTTTTAGTGAAAGATCTCTATTACATCTGCAGAATCAAAGTACATTAAAAAAGGAAAGTTTTATAAGTATTTAAATTTCATTTATTTTTTCCAGGCGACTTTGCATACAATATGGAATATGTAAGTGAATTAAGGTCTTCTGTTTTTTTTACATCTGTTCAATGGTTTTTGTGGGGGAATACTAAAAAGTACAGTTTTCAATTGGTCTAAAATATGTTTGCCATCTGTTAACCTGAAATTTCTCTAACTCATTCTTCACACTTGCTTGAACCAAAACAAATTTCTCATGGACATCCATTATACATTTTCTGCACACTTGATAAATTGAACCCACTTTAGCTTGAACCTTCAGCTAACTCCAACAAATATTCATATCCCCTGAGATAATCTCCTTTCCAAATTTAGCCTTTATCTTAATATATAATTTCTTATTACACAAAACAACCTTGGTCCAGTGACTATGTCATCAGACCTTGGTAATTGAGAGGTGTGTCTTAGAGGGTCTGGATTCTTATGTTTGACAAAACTGATGGAAACAATTTGGATGCTTTCATTTGTTTCAGGATAATGGAATGGTTGGAGATGACTTCATGAATCAAATTCAGACAATTGCTGCCTATGTTCCCTATATGACATGTCCAGGAAATCATGAACTAGCTTAGTAAGTTCCTTGATGATATTATGTGGACTTGTGAATGGCTTCAAAGAGAAGGGTGTGATGATGCTCTTGCCTTAACCCTTTACACCCTCACATCAGTATCCATATTCTCCATACTGTTACCAGTATGTCTCTTTTGGTACTGACAAGGAGATTTTGTATGAAGATCACAGCTTCTTAGGTTGGCAATCATTTCCTTATTCTCATGATCTTAATGAATGGTTTAGCAGTATTACTATAAGGAGAAATTAGATGCTGGTCACATTAAAGGGTTAAAAGTAATGAGAGTTAGATTCCTCTTCAGTAATGTTTGGAAATCTCAGACTTGATCACTAAGTTTTACCACTAATATATAGATTTAGCCAAGCCTAAAAGCAGAGCTCGCATTTTGTTTTTTTCCCACA